TTGGGTGAGATTTATGCAATAACATTTGTCTGACATACATCAAGATGAACCCTTTCGTTTTTAGTTGTTATGGAAAATAAATCAAAAAATTTATCCATGTATTCTTTACAGACAAGTCAATCACAAGTCAGTCTTTGGCTAATTACTAGCATAGTACTATATTGGCCACAAAAAATCTCGGAGGCGTCAACAAGAGTAAATATTACAAATATTAAGCAGAGACCGTTTTAAATTTTGATCAATTTAAGCCTTTTGATTGTTTTTGCAATATACGGAAAATTTGAAAGGATTCTTGTGAACGGTAAATTTCCAAGAATAATTAGCCCCTTGAAAAATCTTAATCAAAAACATGGATACAACTCCTTTGTTTATTTAGTTGATTTATTTATTTACAGCGCATATTTAGTTTACCCCATTGTTTCTCAACACTAATCACGACATAATTCTAATTTATTGACATAAACGCATGTAATCAACTTTAATAAAATATTTTATTACCCGTTTACTGTAACTGTAAAGAACAAGTAACAAATGAACGATCCAAACTCATAAAAACAAGTAAATCCGAGATTATGTAAGAGTAAAATCTATGCATCGTTTACTCAAAATTAATAAATCCGAGATCATGTAAAATAATCATTCAAAAAAACAAAAAAAAAAAAAAAAAACAAATATAAGTCCTTCGCAAAAGATTCCGTCATTTTTCAAAAAAACATCATTTTTTTTTAAAAAAAAAAATTATTTTCTATGACCTTTGTTCGTGGTTTAAACTATTAGTTTTTCTTTTATTCTTTCGCGAACCATCGAATTTATTTTATATTCAAAAAATAAAAAAATTTTATCTCATTCTTTCCTTTAATCTTTTTTCTCGATACAATCATTCGTTACCTTTAGTCCCCCACCATTAATTTACGATCATCATCACCATCATTTTTTTTTCATAATATTTAATACTACCTATCACAACTTTTTCACTGACAAATTACGTGTTAAATAGAACTCACAAGATTAAATCCAATAATGGGTCTTTCAAATTCCAAATCGAATAGTAATTATAAAAGTAATTTTAAAAAGGTCTCATTTGACCTAAGCACGAAAAAAGAAATTTTTAAATATGCTAATGGACGAAGGTTTCATAATGATGAAAATTCTAAATACTTTTTACCAAATGATGATGAAGAAGGTATACATTGACTTCTTTGATAGTTCATTTAAGTATAATATTAAAAAGATTATAATATAATCTACATATGTAATTAATACTGTAATTAATACTGTAATTTAATGTCTTTTTTGTAAAATAGTTGACAGACTTCAAATCCAACATTTCCTTTTCTGTTACATATGGCAAGGCAATTATTCATCTCCTGTTAGTGACTTACTAGATCGGGGTGGTGCTAAAGTCCTAGATGTCGGGTAAATAAATATATAAAATTCTTTTTTTAATTTATTTTTTTTCTTTTCTAACCTATTTTTATTACCTTTTATTTTTATTCTCACAAATTAGTTGCGGTCCAGGCACTTGGCTCTTAAATATGGCGGTAAGCATCACATTCTAATATTTACAGTAATTATTTAATTATCTATACTTAACAATAAATAAATAAATAAATAAATAAATAAATAAATATTTTAATAGACTGATTATCCAAGAGTTTCATTTACTGGCGTAGACATATCTCCAATCTATCCTTCTGAAATAAAACCTTGCAATCTAACATTTCATACTGCAAACATATTAGAGGGTTTACCATTCCCTGATAATCATTTCGACTTTGTATATATGAGATTCTTATTAACTGCATTCACTGAAGATGATTGGCAAAATAAAGTTATTCAAGAATTATGTAGAGTTCTTAAACCAGGTGGATACATTGAAATTATGGAAGGTGATATGGTACTTAATCCAGAAGGCGATTGTGGAAAAATTTTAATGAATGCTTGTATGTTATCAAAAAATAAGGTTTTTTTTTGTATAGTCTATTTTTTGAAATTGATTAAGATTAATTAATTGATTTGTTTTTTTTTTTTCATTCT